GTGCTGCCCCGCTGAGCCGGGGGACCCGGTCCCGGCCAGGGACGACCTGTCGGACCCGCGGGCCCCGACACACACACTCCAGCCCCCTCGGGACGGGCCTCAGCTCCCGCCGCCGTCCTGGCCGCGGAAACACGACGGGGCGATTCTCCCGCAGCCGCGAGCCGGGCGAGAGGGCAGCGGCTCCCCGCACCGCGGACTGCTCTCGAGGATCTCCGGGCTCATCTCGGCAGCGCTGTCCGCACCCCTCGCACCGCGTGGCCCCTAGAAAGGATTTCGTGGCCCCTGGCTGGGAAGCGCGGGCTTGCGGGTCGGTGACACGAGCACTGGCCCCCCCCAGCGGAGCAGAGCAGTGCGGGGAGGGGATGGGGCTTCCCACCCCGATCCAGCTCCTCAGGTACTGCAGCCTGTGCTCCTGCTGGCTCCCAATCCAAACCCCCTCCCAGAGCAGGAGATGATTCCTCAGGTTGTGCCCGGCAGGTGCTTTAACTTCTTAACGTTTGATCCCTGGAGCTAGCCATCATTAAGTGCATCAGTTCTCAGACTCACAAGGGTGAAGGAAGCCCCAAGAGAATTACAGTGCTTCATCATCTAGCAATCTGTAAGCAGTGATAGCAGCTACTTGTAGTTCACTGCAACTTTCCTGCAGTCTTCCCGGAGCCTCTTCTGACCAAGCCTGTGGAAAAAGATCCTCTCTCTGTTCCCACTGTGCTTGTTTCACAGCTTGCTTTGTCAAGAGGTTCTCTGATAGAAATTCATGGAAGATCACAGTTGTGGATGGCTTAAAAAAATGCAAGAACTGCATGGGTGGTCCAACAAAAATATATCACCAAAAAACCCCTTGCTTCTCACATAACTTCTTGGAGCATCATTGCTACAACAACACTCAAACCCCTTTAAAAATGCATGAAGAACAAATACACAAGCAGACAGAACAACTGCAAAGGAGTGAGATTTTAGCTCAATGGTAGCTTGAAATGAGGAATCCTAACAAAAGTCCCATCCCTGTAGGAAAGGACATAAATATCACAGATATAAATGAAATGATACCATGTTCAAGTAAGTCTCTGTTCAGCTTCTCTCCTAATGCTGATTTTTCAGGTAACCAAGTGCTACAATTGATGCAGGAAAGAAGAGGGAGCTATTGTCGAGGGGGGTGCAGCATCTATGAGCAGATAATATAAAGTGGTTCAGAACATGAAGACGTAGCCAAGAACTTATAAGAACATATGCAAGTTAACCAAGTACTTCAGCAACTGACTGAACACCACTTTGGTTTCCATTCACAAAAAGAAACACAGGGAGAATAAGCTGATTTGTCTCCATATAAATGACCTTTCCAGGGCAATCATGCCTATTTTGAGTGAATCAAGTGTTGTAAAGCAACAATCTGTCAGTAACAACATTTTTGCTGGTCACCCACAGCCCATGGCACATTTGGAAGGGATGATGACAGTTTCTTAACAAAAAGCAGTCCTGATTCCAGACTGTATCATAGAAGAAATGAGCACTTACCACTGCCCCTTCCCCTCTCTAAAACCACTGTGCTGCTTCACCCTGTGCCCACTTTTCCATGGGAGCTCATATTCTCTTCTGGCCATATGCACAACTAGAATGTAACCAAGGCACTGGTCAAACCAAATGACAACCGTCACTTCTCCCATGGGCAAAGTTCCAGCACGGCGTTGTGAAAATATAACAACTTACTGGGCTGGATTTATAGCTATCTCACTACCTTCAGCAGGTGAGGTCATGACCTCTTTTAGAGCATCACTCCAGTTTAAAAGAAGCACCTCTCTCCCTGGATGCGCTCTAAAGGTATGTCTGGAGCACACCCCATGTGGGGGTCACTCTTGAACACATCCTATGCACCCACTCTCACCTTGCCAGCACCAAATCTAGAATCACAGTGGTGAAGCTGCTGTGGGAGCATGGCTGTTGTCCATGGCTGGAGGTAGAGGTCTCAAGAGCAGCCATGGCAGAGGACCCTGGAGTGGGTTCACCACCACAGTTTGGGGTTTTGCACACACAAGCAGGAGCTATTGGAGGTATACCGGGGAAAAACCCTCCACTGGAGTGCTGGAGACACAGTGTAGACATACCCCCAGATGGTGAGGACCCACCTTTTTGGCAGGCATGCCATAAATTAGCTCTGAGTCCTCCCCAAGTGTCACACCAATCCTTTTCCCTTCACAATCTGCTGCTCTTTCTGCTCCTAGCCCTGTGCTCTCTGTCTGATCTACAGCTCTGTTTTCTTCTTCCTTCTCCATGTTCCCTGCCCGATTTGCTGCTTTGCTTTCTCCTTCCCAATCTAACTGCCCTTGTGCTGCCTGCCCCCTTCCTGATCTGCTGCATGCTACACACACAGGCTGCCAGATTGGCCATCCCTACCCTAAGACATTCTGGCTTAACATAAAGCTGGGTTAAGGTAGTCACAACTTCCCAACATTCCTCTTCCCTTTTCAATAGTGGGGAATGAAGCTAAAGATATAAACCTTCCAGCCATGATTTGTACCCACTAACTTCTATGCTCAGGGTGTTGGCCCACAGAGCCTGGTGTACATCAACACAGTGAACCAAGCCCTTCTCACCTCCTTAACCCCTGCATTGCTCAACACTGACTTCAACATTGAACAGGGTCCAAAAATTGGACACACATCTGGCCCATGCTGACAGCATGAAAGAACATTCTTGCCCATGCCAGTCACTCCTTCCTAAAGGCATGATGTAACCAGTCACCCACCAAGGCCAAAGCAGGGGAAGTAAAGAAATGAGGGTAGATGTATGAGCCAAATTCTTACCATGTCATGTTCCTGAACCCTCAAGAAACCAGAGAAACCTAGTTAGCTGGACAGTTGTGGGCACCATACAGGACATAAACTGATCATCGATGGTTGGATGATGAATGCATTAAAAAAATTAAAGAAACATTTTCCAGAGATTTTCCACGTCTGTTCCTCATCCAAGATAATGTCCAAGTATGTCATCATCTATAACATGTTTCTCCATTGAGAAGCACAGGGTCACATCCTTCTTGGAGTAAAATCAGAGTATTTCAGTGGAACTATAAAAACTTATACCAGGTCAGGACCTGGCTTCCCATTTTCAAGTTAATTGAAATACGTAGAATGCCTCAGAATATTGTAAATACATTGAACCTGTTTTCCCATACTGTGTATTTTATCTATTGCATAGGAGGCTAATTTGCAGTATTCTGCTTCTTTGTACACCTCATTTCTGTATGTTACTGTATCTGTCTCGCATTTTTAGCAGCAGATCGCAAAGCAGCTTGCAGAAGATGTCAGTATTATAAATCTCCATGTTATGGAATCATTATCATGGTCTTCGACCTCACTCTCAAACCTGATTCACCCTGTTCCACACAGTCATATTTTGGGAAAAAAGGCTCTCAAAGTTAGGGCATCAATTGGAGATCACTGGGCGATTACAACCAGGTAAAGATCTGTACTGTGCACCCCCTGTATCACTGGCCATTGTTTACTACCAAGCACTGGAACCTCTGATCCTCCAATGTACCTTGCCAAAAGTGAAGTCTCCTGTTTACAGAGCAAACCAGTTGTTATCCTAGCTCTCACAATCACACTCTTGTGTTAACAACCCACACCAAAAATAGCTATCAGAAAATGTTGAGGGCTCATGCCCCATTCGTCCATTTGACTTCTGCTTATGACATTCTGTGACACACCAGCCTGCTAAGGAAACTATAAAAAAGCTCCCTAATTGGTTTGCTCACATTATACCATTTCTTCAGCTGCCTCTTGCCTTCGTACACAATGGCTTGTTCATCATCTTAGTCTGATAGGACAGTCACCTTGCTTGGAGTAGGGCTAAGAAGGACTTAGCAGAAAGCACCAGGTTCAAGAACTATAAAAAGCAAAGGCTTTCTTCTAAGCAGCAAAGGCTTGGAAAACA